GTGCACTTAGAAGATGAATAGGTACTTTTAAGGGTATCTAATCTTTCTTTTCCCATTGATCATATTTTTGGTTCTTATATATAATAATATTCATTTATGTGTATGCCTTAAGGAACTGCCTTTATTCCTGGAAGAGATGGCTCCAGCCACAGCTGCTAAGAGGACCTCAACTCCACCCAGGCTTTGAGACCCCAGCCACTAGAAATTTGAAATGGGTGTGGGTAGATGGTCTTTAAACCGACTTTCATTTGTTCGAACTTTGACTCACAAGGGCAAGATAATTTGATTTCAGATTTTAATGCCTTTGGACTTTGCTATCTTTGAACTTTAACATGCAAGTAGGTCTATACTTTACATTTTTATTTCTCCCTGAGAATTTACTACAGAAGAAGGATTTATATCCACATCTGGGACCCCTTTAAAATGTTTGCCTTTTGTTTATGGAGTATCTTAATGTTATTATTTCCTCTTACTACAGAACTCCTTATGGTAGACGATGGGATTGGACCTAAATGAGGGTTGGAAACGGGAGAGGGAGTACATTTTCAACTTCGTGTAATAGTGACCTTGGAGCTTAATGTATGGTTCTGACCATGTCAGGACCTTCTGGGGACAAAATTTAAGCTACCCAGCAGATTTTGGGGGGCCTGAAGCTTATATAATTTGTAGGGAGGAAGCAGTTTAAGAAAAAAAAAAAAGAACATAAAATGATGAATTCAGAATTAGGTATAGGGCCTTGGAAGGAGCCTGAGCAAGTGAAGGGTCCTGAAGCTTTCGATTTGTGATAAATCCACCTCTGCTGGCCAGCAGCAGTCTAGAGGATACCCAAAGAGACAGTGGCTAGCTAGTCCACACAGACAGGAGCAGGACTCTCCTCCAGGTGGGCTGCAGATCTTCTTTCCCAGGAGAGCCACATCCCTGATGACCAAGGGCAAGTAGTTGCAAACTCACCTAAAATGATTTAGTTATTCACAAGAGACTTTTATCGTGAATGTCTACGGCTTCCATTATAGCCTCACTATCAGGTTATAATGAAAGTAAGTCCTATATTGAATTCTGCCACACATAGAAATATTTATAAACAAGGAGGCACAAAACAGTTCTACAACTTGTTCTGAAAACTCAGTGAAGTCCCAGCCCCATTCTGTGCATAGAAAGTTAACTAGATGGGGCCAAGCGTGGTGGCTCATGCTGGTAATCCCAGACCTTTGGGAGGCTGAGGTGGGTGGATCAACTGAGGTCTGGAGTTCAAGACCAGCCTGGCCAACATGGTGAAACTCTGTCTCTAATAAAATTACAAAAAAATTATCTGGGTGTGGTGGTGGGGGCCTGTAATCCCAGATACTTGGGAGGCGAAGGCGGAGGCAGGAGAATCACTTGAACCCAGGAGGTGGAGGTTGCAGTGAACTGAGACCATGCCATTTGCACTCCAGCCTGGGCAACAAGAGCAAAACTCCATCTCAAAAAGAAAGAAAGAAAGTTAACTATTTGGAAACATGACAGCATCTTAGTGGCAAGATATAGTCAGACTCAGGCACAAGAACCCTCCAAGTCCTGTGTTGGACACAGGACAGTTTTGAAATCAGTCAGGCCTCAGAGTCATTCCAAAGGGAGTCCCCTATCGAGAAGCTTTTAAAAATTGTTGATATTGATTTTGTTTCTTTTATTACACAGGGGTTTTGGGGTAACTTTTTATTTGTATGTAATTTTAAACTTACACCAGTACAAGGAACTCCTGTGTATCTTTCATCCTGATTTAACAATTATTCACATTTTTCCTTATTTGTTTCATCATTCTCTTTATGAATATTTATTCCAGGCCATTTGACAGTACATTGGAGATATCATGCTCTTTTGCCATTAAATATGTGTGTCTTTTTCTAAGATGGACATTCCCCTGCATGAGAACATTTTTAATATCAAAATCAGGAAATTTAACATTAATATAAACCTATTATGTAATCTACAGGCCATATTCAAATTCTGTCTTGTCTCAGTAATGTCCTTTGTGGCTATTTCCTTTTCTTGACTCAGGATCCATTCGAGGATCACACAGTGCATTTAGTTCTGCCTCCTTTCATCTGGAACGGTTCCTCACTCAGTTTTTGCCTTTCGTGACCTTGACATTTTTGAAGAATAAAGACCAGTTTGGAGGATGTTCCTTATTTGGCTTTATCTGACATTCCCTCTTGATTAAGGCCATGCATTTTTTATTTCATCAAGAGGGAATGTCAGATAAAGCCAAATATGCAAAATATTAAAGCCAAATATGCAAAATATCCAACCAAAAAAGCCAAATATGCAAGATATTCATATGCAAAAATATTACAGAAATGAAAATGTGTGCCTCTCGGTGTATCACATCAGGAAGCATATGAAATTGGTTTGCCCTAGTCTTGGTGACTGGTTAAGGTGGGGCGCTCCAATATTCTTCAGAATAAAGTCACTACTTTTGCCTTTGTCATTAATAATCAATACCTGGGAAGATACTTCAAGAGTGTGTAAATACACAGTTTGTCATGAAACTCTCACCCCCTGTTTTGGGCAACATTGATGATTTTCTAATTTCATCTATGTTTTATTGTTGAATTTCTATCACAATATAAAGAAAGAACTTTTCCTTCATTTATTTATTCATTTATCTGTATCTGTATAAACTCAAGGAACTTCATTTTATTCAATGGGTTATAATCCACTACCACTAAATTGTTAAACCTTATTTAGGGAGTAGGATTGCCTGTAATTTTCAACCCACATCCTGATGGCACTCATGTGGACTGAAAACTTCCACTGGGCTAATTAACAGAGCCTCTCTTGCTAATCAGGGACAAAGAGAGCTCAGGCATTTTTAGTAGCCTCATGAACCTGGAGTGTATATTCCTGAATTAGGAAAATTCAATACTCACAGAGTGTAGATTAAAGCAAACATGCATCTTTATATCATAGTACCTAGGCTGAAGAATTTAAAGTATATGTAAATTATAGAACACATAACTTAAGTGGTTAAACCTTATAGGTCAACTGAACAAAAAGTTGGGTAATGATAAAAGAAAATGCACCCCCACTTGGAGCTAAATTATGGTTTCTACTTCCTGTCCCCATTTATTCATTCCACCCTGAGGCAGTAGAGTGGTTTATCTGACGGGAAAGGGCAAGCCCAGCTCAGCCCCTTCCCCTTTGCTCTTGGAAACCCAGCTTGCCTGCATGGAGCTCATGTTCTCTCCTCTTGGTCAAGCTACTGGCTTAATAACAAATGTCCCGCCCTCATCAGAGGGACCTGAGATGGTCCAATATCTTCCATAACTGGGCAGGTCTATTTTAGTATATTCAGCTTCAGATAGAAGCACAAAGCTACCTCCCACAATCTAACCTTCACCAATAATAAAGTTGATATTTTAGGCTTCATCCACATACCTCTTATTTCTCAGTCAGTTCAGAACATGAGAGCAAATGATAACAATACAATTCTCCAAAATAAAATGCAAACATTATAAAAAGGCTCCAGATATGAATACAATCCGCTATCCTGTTACAAATTCTCTGGGAGAAATGAAAGTTTAAAGATTAGACTTACTTGAACAGTAAGGTATAAAGACAGCAAAGTCCAAATGAATTACATTTTCAATGGTCAATGATAAGGAAGCTATCAAGAGCCGCGTCACTCAGTGGGCTTTTCACAAGATTCCCTTTCACAGTAGTAACCATCACAATCGTCAGAATCAAAAGCTCTGTCCACACAGTTTACAAGCTCTACCAAGCATCTCCCCCACCACCACCGACCCCATCCCATCCCACCTGCCACCAGCACCTACATCTGAACACAGACATTTATACTGGATTGAATTCTATGTAAACAAAATAAAACTTTAAAACAACAGCCAAAAACCCTTGGAGTTAAAAAATGGCAATAATATAATGTGTGATGCTAGTGGAAAAAAATAGAAAAATGTTATGAAACTAGAAATAGGACCCAAATACAGAAGAGGATGATAGAGTAAATTAGTGAAATCAACAAGGACTGAGTCAAATACAGATATACTATTAGCTATTTATTCATTGAATAAACGCCTATTGAGTGCCTGCTGTGTATTAGGTTTAGGTACTCTATGCACTAGGTACAGGGACTTCAATGGGAACAAAATAGACATGGGTTCACCTTGTATTTTTGTTACAAGACAAAAATGAAATAATGTTAATCATACCAATCCTGGTGTTTAATAAATATTAGATGCTCAATAAAAATCTGTTATTAATATTTTAATATAGGTAAAGAGGGCTGGGTGCAGTGGTTCACAGCTGTTAATCCCGGCACTTTGGGAGCTGAGGCGGGTGAATCACCTGAGGTCAGGAGTTTGAGACTAAACCTGGCCAATATGGTGAAACCCCATCTCTACTAAAAATACAAAAATTAGCCGGGTGTGGTGGTGCACACCTATAGTCTCAGCTACTTGGGAGGCTGAGACAGAATTGCTTGAAACCAGGAGGCGGAGGGTGCAGTGAGCTGAGATCACGCCACTGCACTCCAGCCTGGGTGACAGAGCAAGACTCCATCTCAAAAAAAAAAAAAAAAAAAAAAAAAAAAAAGAAAAGAGGTCAAATGAAGATTGTTTACTTAATAATATTAGGATAACTGGCTAGAGATCAGGCAAAACAATTGGTAGAGGTACCCCCTTATAAGGACATCAAAAGACATTTCAGAAGAATTTGTTTACATTTAAACATTGTATTAAAAAGCACAAAATAAATGTGTTACCAGGTCTGTGAAAGAAGATTCATGTCCTCACTTTTAAAGAAACAAAACCACAGGAAATGAACAGACCTTAATATTGAAACATAAATTTCATACAAAAACAAAACAGCAAAACAGCAGACTGAGGAAAATATTTCATCTAGTTTAATTGACAAAAGGTAAAAATCTGGAGAAAACATTTCAATTTATAATCAAATCATAATGACGCCAAAAAATAAGTAGACTCAGGATGTTGCAGTGGATAGCTTCATTGTTTTTTTTGTTTGTTTGTTTGTTTTTTGGCAACTGTGGTAAGCAGAGTAATTGTCTCCCAAAGGTGATCACATCCTAATCTCCAGAAACTACAAATATGTTACATTACATGGCAAAGGGGGATTAAAGCTGCTAATCACTTGACCTTAAAATAGGGATTGTATTAGTTTGTTTTCACACTGCTATAAAGATACTACCTGAGATTGGGTAACTTATAAAGGAAAGAGGTTTAATTGACTCACAGTTCTGCATGGCTGGTGAGGCCTCAGGAAACTTACAATCACGGCAGAAGAGGAAGTAGTCACCATCTTCACAAGGCAGGAGTGGAGCAGAGCAAGGAGGAACTTCCAAACACCTACAAAACCATCAGATTTCATGAGAACTCACTCACTATCATGACTACCACATGGGGAAACCACCCCCATGATCCAACCATCTCCCTCCCTCCACCTGGGGGGATTACAAATCAAGACGAGATTTGGGTGGGGACACAGAGCCAAACCACATCAGGGATATAATCCTGGATTATGCATATGGGCCAAATATAATCACAGAATCTGTTCTGCAATGGCAGTGGCGGGGACAGCTGTCACTGCAGCAGCATGTTGTTGTCAAAGACAGCAATTCCCACAGCAGGGTCTGCACACAGCATGGTGTCATGGTGGGCACCCAGCAGTGTCAGAGACCAGTGACAAGTTCCAGGAGCCTGCCCTAGGCTGGACTTTGGACATTGTCCCTGGCTGTATAAGCCCCAAGCCTGGTGCTCTTGTCCCCCTGGAGATACTGGGAGCCTTAAATAAGTTCCTTTTCTGTTAAATTAGCCAGAGTTTTTTTTTTGTGGCTTGTGATTCAGAACCCTCAGTGAATCAGATATGAATGAACAATTTGATTCACTCAAAAAGAAAGTGGTGACATGCCTGTAGTTCCAGCTTTTGGGAGGATCAATTGAGTCCGGGAGGTTGACGCTGCAGTGAGCCCTGATCATGTCCCTTCCCCGTATTCCAGGCTGGATGATAGAATAATACTGCATCTCAGCAAAAAGGAAAGAAAGAACGAAGGAAGAAAAGGAAGGAAGGAAGGAAGGAAGGAAGGAAGGAAGGAAGGAAGGAAGGAAGGAAGGAAGGAAGGAAGGAAAAGAGGGAGGAAGGGAAGGGGAGGGAGAGAGAGAGAGACAGACAGAGAGAGAGAGAAAGAAAGAGAGAGAGAGAGAGAGAGAAAGAGATGACAAACACAGGAGAAAAAGTTAATCCTAGCTAGCAGTCAAAGAAACTCAAACTTTGAGATGCCATATGATAGTTATTAAAAACGAAAACAATTGTTTCTGTAGCATAACAATGACAACAGGTCCTCAAATAATGTCATTTCATTCAACTTTTGTTGCTGTTTAGTTTAATGATGAGAAAAAAGATGATTGTCTGCCAGGGCCACTGTGTGGTTTGCATGCTCTCCCACGTCCACAGGGGTTTGCTCTGGGTGCTCTGGTTTTCTCCCACCCCTAGAAGATGTGCATGTTTGACTCACAGGCGTGTCTACATGGTCCCGGTGTGAGTGTGGGGTGTGTGTGTGCCCCCTGCAATGGGACAGTGCCCTGTCCAGGCCTGGTTCTCACCTTATGCCCTGGGCTGCTGGAATGAACTTTGGCAAGCAGAGACCACAGACTATGGCAACCCAGAGAACTTTATTATTGAGTAAGTAGTCTTACTTGCTTTTATTTATCTTTGTTAAATGTATGTATAGCTCATATTTATTTCAATGGTTAATATCAGAAGTGTTCCGGTTTTTATTTAGAAGTTTGATGTGTTTGTAACTAGAAATAAACCATAGGAATATCCGTTTGCTTGTGGTAAAAATTGGTGTCACTTAGAGTTGCAGATTACAAGAACCTATTGACAAACTTAATAGGTACATACTCACCCAAGGCAGGTGATTAAAGGGGAATATGGTCTGTGCAGTAGCTCTATGAGGGGGCAGTTTATGGCCCAAGAAAACTGCCCTCAGAAAGAACCAACAGCTGTAATTTTGGGAACACAAGCCTCTTTGGTGGGGAGTGGTCTTATTGCTAAATACCCAGCATCTGGGGAGCACTTTAATGTCTGATGCTGCATCAACCTAATGGAAAACTACCAACAGTCCTTGAAATAAGCATCACAAAGTCTTTGTAGCAACATGGCAAAATGTTTATGATGCGTATTTAAGTAAAAATTCTATGCAGAACAGGTACTCGTGATGTTTAATTACGTGGGATTTGACACATGTAGCCCATTGGGTTATTAGATTTAAATGAAGGTTAAGAATGCTTTTTTTTTTTTTTTTTTTTTTTGAGATAGTCTTTCTGTTGCCCAAGCAGGAGTGCAGGAGTGCAATCTCAGCTCACTGCAACCTCCACCTCCCAAGTTCAAGTTCAAGCGATTTTTGTGCCTCAGCCACCCAAGTAGCCAGGATTACAGGCATGCGCTAACATGCCCAGCTACTATTTTTAGTAGATATGGGGTTGTACCATGTTGGCCAGGCTGGCGTCAAACTACTAACCTCAAGTGATCCATCCACCCACCTCGGCCTCCCAAAGTGTTGGGATTACAGGCATGAGCCACCGTACCCAGCCCAAGAATGCTTTTATTACATTGTCTTTCCTGTTTAAAATATTGCATCTCTTATCAACATGTTTCACTAAAAAAACATGAACTCACCAAATGCCTAAAGAATGGATTTTTTTTTTTTTTTTTTTTTTTGAGATGGAGTTTCACTCTTGTTGCCCAGGCTGGAGTGCAATGGCACAATCTCAGCTCACTGGAACCTCCACCTCCTGGGTTCAAGTGATTCTCCTGCCTCAGCCTCATGAGTAGCTGGGATTACAGGCATGCGCCACCATGCCCAGCTAATTTTTGTATTTTTAGTAGAGGTGGGGTTTCTCCATGTTGGTCAGGCTGGTCTTGAACTCCTGACCTCAGGTGATCCACTCGCCTCGGCCTCCCAAAGTGCTGGGATTACAGGCATGAGCCATCGCACCTAGCCTGAATTTTCATTTTTAAAAATAAATACCCCCAAGTGATGCTACTCATCTGTTTCTTTGAAGAGTTCCAAATGCCTGAGTTAATGATCAAAACATCATTTGTCTGGGAAACAATCCATATGGGTGCATACTGTCCCTGGGTGCCTGGTCCTGTGATTGGGGTGCAGCTCCTTCAGTCAGCACCCACTTTCTTATAAAGACTCCATCTCTGAGATCTTGCAATGCATCCTGAAATGCAAGGATCCTTACTCCATTTCTTCCTTTGACAAATAGAAAATGAGCCCTTCTGTGTGTTCACCCTTCCCCACTGTCCTCCTCTGAAAAATGCAGGTCTAATCACTGGCATGGGAAAGAGCCTTGTTTTAACTGTCTGTTCCGCCTGGTGGATAGCAAACAAGGTTCGCACGCCCTGTTTTTCATAAAGCACGCAGGCTTGTAAAATGGAATTAAAGAAGGAAATGATGACCAGGCACCCAGAGATCAGCTCCTGTCTTTTTATGCTGTGCTAGAAAAGAAAGGTTGTGAGCTGAGGGAGATCAGGAAAGCAGGAAGGCCAGCAGGAAGAGCAGGCTGGGCACCCAAACATGGCGGTACCTTGGAAGATGCCTGTGCAGGTCAGAGCTTGGAGGAGATGGGGCCGCAGGTGCTGAGGAGACAGTAAGAGTCAGCTGCACTGACAGTGGGGAGAGCCAGACATCAGAGGAAAGAGGAATGATGGAAGTTGGAAATGAAGGGGCCCCGTGGCCAGTTCAGGGAGCTAGAGTGAAAATCTGACCTATCTCAGCTGCAGCCCATTGCTTCCTGTAGCTTGTCTTCACATCCTTTGCCTAGAAAGCAGATGAAAGAAAATGAATCCATAGAGGCTGTGGGCTGAGCCTCTCCTCCCCACTTTTAAAACACCGAACGCCGACGTGGGCGTTATGCTGAGCTGTGATTTATCCGGCCACCCTTCTGAGTACCCAGCTGTCTGGAAGATCCTTCCGCCCTACCTTTCCTCCTTCCTCACTTCTTTCCTCCCATCTTTTCTTCCTTCCAAATAGTTATTGTGTCCCCACCATACACTCTTTATCTGAACTTAAATTTGATATCTAAAGGACGGTAGCATGTATTGACAGCTGAAATCTGGGCAGCTACAGATTTGTAAGGGCAGTGAATCAGGCACCAGCTCTCCTCTAATTACATTGTACATGTGTTTGAGAGCAAGGCTTGCACTTGCATAGCTGAACTCTAGAGTCACACGGATGCTCAAGGAGTCAGTGAAGAGCTGTGGCTTCAAGAACTCAGTCTTGCATAGCTGTTAAGTGGACATGACACTAGGCATTGCAGTCCTTCCTCTGAAAGCCCACCATTAGGGCAAGGGCTTACACACATGAGATGCCCTCCTGGCTGGCACTGGTTCCATGGCAATCATTTCTCAGCCCACAGAGAAGTGGAGGAAAAGAATCTAGGTGCGGGACAGTTAGTGTAGTCTGAGAGTGTGGCCTCTGGAGAGATGTGTCAGAATTCAAATCTCCAGCTGCTATTTGTACAAGTACTTAACTCTTGAATCCTTTGTTTTCTCCTGCGAGGTAGAACTGCGAGGATTTGATGAGATAATCCACCTTGAAACTTAGCACACTGCCTGCACAACATTATAGCTGGATACCTATTATTATTAGCAAGATAAAGTCATTCCGTTTGGAGGAGAACAAAGGATGGAAATGAAACCAGTGGTTCGGAGTCCCCTACCTAAATCACTGACTGATTTTTTTCAATCAGTTTTGCTGATACGCTCAGGTCCAGCGTGAGTTCCCGGCTTCTCTCCCTTTTCCTGTGGGGTGTGTTCCCACTCACATATCCACTTGTTCCACAGGGCAGTATGCCACTGAGATCCTGAACACACATTCCTTCTCAGCTCAAGATATCAAGCCAGTTGAATGGAGATGAGGCAGGGGGAAGGTCAGTCCTGGGGTCAGCCGGACCGTGTTAACGCTTCTGAGCACTATGGTCTCGGTTCCACCAACTGTGGCTCAGCTCAGTCACCTTTTCTCTGGGGTGACAGTTCAGGCTGTGGCTCTAACGACACCTCAGTGATAAGTCTCCACCTCACAGGCTCCGTGTGAAGGTTGGGATGAGTTAACGCAGTGAAAGTGCTAAGGGCGGCACCTGATGCATACAGTAGGCGCCTGGCCAATGCTGGCTGTGTCAGAGCCAGTGCAGAAATGGTACTGCTCTTGCTTCTACGCCAAGTGCTACAAGGACAGCCTTCACTGGTCCCGATGCCCAAGGATCTGAGACACGACGGGGCCATCTGGTCACGTTCTGGCCAGAGCGCTGCTCCCCTCCTTCCCCAATTCCTGAGGCAACTGTGATAGAGAAACCACGGAAATGCTGTGTCACCACAGAAAAGAGAATGTAAGGACGCGTTCATCTTTGCAAACTGTTCTCCTGTGGAATTTCAATTCTTTGCCCACCTGAGGAAAGTCAGACATGCTGCCTTCTCTTCTTTTCCAGACACCAGTGGGGCCCTCTTCCTTTAAGCACTCATGCCTGGGTAAATGGCTTCCCTGGGACCCGGCCTCAGTGTCCCCAGCCCAGTTACCCTCTTATCTACAACAAAGCTCTCAGGCACATGGAACACCCTTGGCTTTTGGGTTATTAATTCTCTGGGTAATTTTACCCCCTGTCAGAGCTGGAGACTTTGTACAAAATAGGGTGCTGAGTGATGAGGGAGCCGCACCCCTGCCACGGGGCCAGGGAGCAGGGACGGTGCGTCCCACACAGATTGTTTCCCAGCCAAATGATGTTCCAACTCCTCAAAGAAACAGAATTAGCAACTTTGGGAGGGCCATATTTCAAAAGAAAATACTTCCTTAGATTGACATTTGGTTCATCTGTAAATTCACGGCATTCCCACAGCAGCGTCTGCTGCTGCTGAGCTGTGCCAGTGTCTGAAGTAACCCCGCAATGCCTGCTGGAGGAGGGAGCTCGGGAGATGGGAGCAAAGGGAACTAGGCGGCTGGACGTCCTTCCTGCTTGCTAACCTATGTTTGCTCTCTGAAGCCAGGCCTGCCCCAACCAAAGCACCGCGGACAGAAAAAACGAAGGTGGGGGGGTTTATCAACATGCACAAGGTCAGGGGCAGCCTTGAACGCATGAGCAAATATGCTTTAAAATAAAAGAGGCTCCTGCCGATAGAATCGCATGGGGGAGAAGCAACTGATTTATGGAGTGTGGCATTTATCAGCTCATTTCATCTGTTTTAGAGACCAAGGCTCAGAGGAAGCTGACGAAGAGCGTCTAACATCTTCATCTTCATCATGTGAATGGCGTGTGGTGGGTGCTTCACTGAGGGGACAAGGGAATACTTGTCACGGGGCTGGGAGGTGAAGGAGTCACCATTCGGTCTGGCCTCAGCGCCTACCTTCTCTCTCCAGAAGACCGGAGGCTGAGCAAGCTGGATGAAGTAATCCAATCACGTGTCCCCAGGAAAGACAAGACTCCTAAAATCCAAGAGGGGAGATGACAGATGTGTAATAGATGGCAGCAGGAGAGGCCCCGTCTGCATGCCTGCGAGCACTGGTTCAGAAACGCGTGCTCTTTACGGCCATTTTAATTAGGGCTGTGGACATTCCCCTAAGATGGGAGATTAAAACCTTGAGCGACTGTTTCCTTAAAAAAAAAACACCACTTGAGGAACAGGAACATTGGAAATAACTCACTATGACTGAGAAACTAAAACGACGACCGAAAATGGAGCAGATATCCCAGGAGAAATGTTGTGAGCCAAGACTTGGCCTCAGCCCCACTGGAGAAAGCTCCCAGGTTCCCACCCAAAGCCCAGACTCCAGAACGCAGGATGCCCCATCCTGTGGAGAAAGTCCCTGCAGACTTATGTTGGGGAAATTTCCCTTCCCTTTAAAGAACCAGTTTCAGGAAACGTCACTAGTGTTCTGCCTCCCTCCTTTCTACTCCCGGGCACAATGTGTCTCCACCGTGTGATAAATATCCCCGAAAAGACAAGTCAAGGCCAAGTGGAAACTTACACAAGCCACATGCCCCTGGGGGCCCCAACATGGCCGCTCTCCAGGATGTCTGTGCTGGGTGGAACAAGGACGCACAGAACCCGCGCTCATCACGTGGCAGCCAAAGGCCTTGTGGGTGCCGGGTGGGTAAGGGAGTGAAGGGAGCTCCTGCCAGCTTCTCTTTCAATTACAGAGTCCTATGCCTGTGTGTCCTCTTCCTGCTGCGACTCGGCCCTGAACATAAGAAAAACAAACCCTGATAAGTTACACCAGCTTGAAAGGAACACTGAAAACAACACAGGTCAGGCAACTAACACAGGGGCCTTAGGAAACCCAGGCATTCCTGAGGAAGCAGGTCTTCCAAGCTCTCTTGCAGAGAAGAGTCAAAATAAGGCATTACCTTGAAAAACTTGAATTCTACCAGATGATTCTACCCACTGTCACTCCTTCTCCCAAATCAGCCCAGTTCATCAGTATGAGGGGTTGGTGAAGCTTCTTCAACGTGAGTGAAAATGCCCTGAACTGCATGGAAGAGAAGCATCAGCTACTCACACATCGTGATAGCTAATTTACATGAAAGGGAACGAGCAGGACCTTTCACTTCTGTTTTCTGAAATCCTGCTTTTAAGGCTGACCTTTCACTTTCACAAAAAACATTCAAAGCTCAAACAGGATATGACACTCTTTCTCACAGGCACACCAGTTGGATTTTCCCTTTACAAGTTGAAAAACTCGTTTTTCTAGGGCGGCTTGTGTTCTTTTTTTTTTTTTTTGAGACGGAGTTTCGCTCTTGTTACCCAGGCTGGAGTGCAATGGCGCGATCTCGGCTCACCGCAACCTCAGCCTCCTGGGTTCAGGCAATTCTCCTGCCTCAGCCTCCTGAGTAGCTGGGATTACAGGCACGCGCCACCATGCCCAGCTGATTTTTTTGTATTTTTAGTAGAGACGGGGTTTCACCATGTTGACCAGGATGGTCTCGATCTCTTGACCTCGTGATCCACCCGCCTTGGCCTCCCAAAGTGCTGGGATTACAGGCGTGAGCCACCGCGCCCGGCTGTGTTCTTTTAGTTGGGTCTAAACCTTGAAAAACTTTGAAGCTCACATTTATTTCTTCCTGAGGGAAATCGTTATTCAGTTCTGAAAAGTAACAAAAAAGCACTTCACTTTAAGTGCTTGATCCAGAGAACTGCAAGGCAAGTTCAAGAAACTCACACACACACAGCACGCCAAGGGAATGTGCTTCAACCAAAATGGGAGACGCTGACATAAGGCAGGTTAAATATATGACGATTTGTAAAAGACTGAATGAAGGCTTAGCGGCAGAGAGTGAGTTATTTACTCAGACACTGCAGATGTGGTGAAACTACCTAAAAATGGGGCTGAAGGGGAGAATACAGAGACCATGTACAAATGTTTTTAAAAATGGTTCTTGGCACTCCTGGGTATTTCTTTATTCCACAGAAATAAAGATTTATTTTCCTAGAAAACTCCAAACATAAATGTTCACAGCTCTACTTGTAATAGCCCCAAACTGGAAACAACCCAGATGTCCTTGAGTAAGTGAATGGCTAAAAAACTGTGGGACATCCATATGACAGGGTATTATTCAGTGACAAAAAGGAATGCACTGTTGATACATGCAACATTACTTGGATGAATCTTCAGAGAATTACGTCAGTGAAAAAAGTCAACCCTGAAAGGTTACATCCTGTTGTGACCATTTGTTGGGGGAAGAAAACAACCGGTTTCTAGCAATAGAGAACAGATCGGTGGCTGCCAGAGTTTGGGGAAGGGGTGAAGGTGGGGCGCAGGAGGGAACTTTGTGGTGGTGGAAAAAGCTATCTTGACTGAATGTCAATATTCTGTATGTGATATTATACTATAGTGTTGTGAGCTGCCACCACTGGTGAGAACTGGGTAAAGAGGACATTCTTACAACTGCATATAAATATTGCAAAATAAAGAGTTTAATTAAAAAAAAAACTGTTCTCAGTAATTATATTGGTGGTGGTAGTAGTATTGCTATTCTGAGATTTTATAATATGGAATAAAGCAAATGAATAATTTCAGGATACTTTAGTGGAAAATGCAGTATTTCACCATGATCTTCAATAAAGAGAGAAGTCTCTATTGAGCTTCGATGGACATAAGTCTTTTTTCTTCTTTGTTAAAGTGTTTTTGGTTATGGGCCATGTTTAGAAAGGCCAATCCAAAATTATAAAATATATTCACCAAAAAACAAAGAAGATTTCACGTGAATAAAACTAAAATATATTTGAGCCCATAAATTAGTATTTTAAAAATTTGTTCATCTTTAAATAGGAACCAACTTGTAAATAATGCTGATTATAGGAAAGTAATGCAAATAAAGACTCCAGCACTGATCCTGCCTTTCTTATATGGACTGTACCACCCCATGAAGGGAAGCATGTCTTTATATAGGAATTCCAACTGACAAAGGAATGTATCCAGGGGAACTAACATAGGATCCCCATACACAAGCAATTTTAAAAGTGCCAGGAACTTGGTGAGATGACACCATCACCCAGTCTGATACAGTTTCACCTACTCAAGATGCCACAGGTAGTAAGAAGCACCATCACTCTCGGTACATCCAAAAAACCACAGCCAGTTCAAGCAGAGCTGAACTGACATCAACCCTCAAGTGACATCAGAAGACACATCCTAATTTGAGATGCTCAAGTGGGACAAAAATTGGCCTTGACTCAAGTGACAATGCCGTTTCATATCCTAAGCCTTATTTTCACTACTTCACACTTTCCAGATTTATGAGGAGCCAGTATTATCACCTATACTGAATCACTGAAAATCAGGGTAAAATAGCACAGCATTACAGCAGTAAGAAATGTGCAAACTCCTCAAGAAATGATAGTGGAGGAATAAAAACCAAACCAAACCAATTTATTATTTACCCTCCCAGGCTTGAAGCTCATGACCCTGTGTGGCCTATAACTTCTGCTGGTGAACACATCTTGATGGGGGTCTTCCGACGCTCTTCTCTCGCTGCCCATCATCTTCCACATTCAGCCTCAGTGGATCCTCAGCAAGTGCAGCAAGAGAGAACTACCACCAAACCCCAGCTTTGTAACTAGAGATCTGCGAAATGCTGAAATTACGTGCATGATGCTCCACATAAATGTATTTCTTACGGGATTCCAGGATTGCTGCTGTGAACTTTTTGCCATCTATACCACTTTGTCAAAAGTACAAGACTGTAATTAATTAGAATTGTTTCCAAGATGCTTTGCCTTAACTCAACATTTTGGTCCGTTGAGAATGGAACAACTTGATTCCAGCCCTGAGCATGGCAAGGTCAAAGGACTGTCATGGGAAGCAGGGGAGAAGATGGTGAGGTCTCAGTACACCTAGAGGTAAGAAAGTTAAGAGAAAGCTCTGAAGCCACTCAGCTGTGGAGCCCAGGACCGATGCTACCTTAGGCATGGTCTTTGTAGAATAACTTATTGGACATCCATCATACTATCATCCACTGCAGCTTTATGCAAGTGGCATGGAGTCAACATACCCAGATAGCCCAGAAAAGTGTGTCACTTGTAAAGAACTCACAACTCTATGCTCAGGTCGGCAAACTGTGGTCCATGGGCCAAACCTGACCTGTTGCCTGTTTTTTTTTTTACTTTTTGGTATGATCTGTACAAAATAAGACTTTACATTTTGAAATTGTTTAAAAAAAAAACAAAATATTGTGTGGTATGTGAAATTTATATGAAATTCAAATTTGTGTCTCTAAATAGTTTTATTGGAACACAGCCATGCCCAGGTGTTTAGTTAATCACTGCCTTTGTATTACACAATAGCAGAGTTGAGCAACAGAGACAGTATGGCCTACGAAGCCTAAAATAGTTACTCTCTTTCTCTTTACAGAACAAATTTGCCAACCCCTATCTTGGAGCTTGGGTTTTGCAAGTGCTCTGGTAACTTCTTCATAAATGAAAGATAAAATCTGAATGTGTAACTACCAAACAGTCACATTTATTACTGTTACTGTAGTTTTCAAAGCTCGCGCACCAGACATGCATTGAAAATGCAAGTGAGCCCGGACTGGTTGTAAAACATTTCCTGTTTGCCATTTCTCCCTTTGCAATCTCCCTACTGGGCATACACACACAGCAGAGGAAGAATAACAATAGTCACCGTGCTAGATTTAAAAGCATTTAATGACATAGCATATATTTAACAGATAGGGCAAAAGTTGAGAGGTACAGGTCGTACGACTGAGCACCAGGCCTGAGCGACCACCTCCCTGTTCAGGCCCAGCCTCTGGAGTTCATTCCTATCAATGTCATTTTGATTGTGCAGTAAGATGAAAATTTGTCATTACAATAGTTACAGTGACAGAGAAATGCACACTATGTATCAAATAGCAAGGAAATGAAGCAAATTATAAAACAGTGTGGCAACTCACGAGCAAGTAACCATTAGAGTAACATTACTTTGTCCAGTAAATGCTTCGGTTCCACCACTTGTACACTTACCAATGATTTAAAGGGTTTATTATACATCTAGTTTTATTATACTTTGTACTAGAATTATCTCAAACATACAATATAATGTATTTCAGCAAAAAAAAAAAATTGAAATTACAGATTATTTAAAACAGTATCAGTTTTCTATTCCTTCTTGTATACTGACATTCTTAACCGTCGTAGCAGTTGATGCAGAAAAGCTGCATGTCGTGTGTTAGTAAGTGATGCCAGATACAAATGGTTTGGTCTGTAGAGTTAATGTGGAGCTGCACTGTGGCTGCAGCGAGATCATAATATGTGATCTGTTTAATAAAGGTTAGACCCATTGCGGGCACTTGTAATAGTCAAGACTCAGGGTAACCACCGTTAAGTAAATGGAGAGAGAATGGTGTCAGGATATTGGTACGTTTTGTCTGTGGTGAGCACAGGAAATATTGTTTAAGCACCGCTGCCTTGCATACCAACAGCACTAGAGGCGGGTTATTTCCAACACAGCCTCACAAAATTGAGGAACAGTTTAAATATTGAGATCTAATCTATATAATTTCATTAAAAAAAAATCTGGTCTTCCCTCTGCACCTCAAACTTTTGTAACTTGGAGATAAAGTATTTAGGTATGTTTCCCCCACCCCCAGAAATGCTCTATAAATAAAAAAAAATCAACCACATTGAGAAACATTAGGCACAGAGAGTAATGTGTTGGTTCTGAGCTTGCATGCTGGAATTTCACTGAAAAGGTAAGAGAAGGGCAGGAGGTAAAGGAAAGGAGTTCATTTCTTTTTGCCAAAAAGGCTGAACCGCTTCTCTTTGTCTTTCTCTTTGTCCTTCTCCCGCTTGCCGGGACTGGACTCGCTGGTGATGGTGACGACGCTGGTGGGGAGGGTCTGCGCCCGGCTGGATGCTGGCGTGCTCTGGGTGCTGGCGGACACCTCGTGTTTATCAGAGGAGATGGCAGAAGAGATGGCCTGGATCCATGTGTTCATTTCCTCCTGGACAGAGGAAGGGACACAGGTGACACTCAACTAAGACAGGTGGGTGTCAGGGGTTCTGGCTCCAAGGCTTGGGAATGACACATCTGGCCAACTGAGGGGTGAGCAGAATCACTTTTGGGCACTGGCCCCAAACGCCCCTCTGCCTTATCGGTACAGGAGAGGGAACCTGGTTCAGCCTCTCATGAGAATTCAGTTTTACGGTACCTGAAGGTCATCACCCTGGTGTATGGCTCTATAAACTTGTAAGAGCTGGAAGACTGGTCTCAATCT